ATATATATATATATATATATATATATATATATATATATGCAACTCCCGCCCTTTTTAAAAGTTTAAATAAAAAGTAGGATTTTATTTAATATATTTTTCCTTAATCTACTTATTGGACTTGCCAATATGAATATCTTTCTGTGACTCTTTCTGTCAACCCATCTATCTTATTGTCTGTAAATCCTAATTCCATTGTTTATTCATTAAGAATTGCTTTTGGTTATGGAGTAGCAGAGATTCAGTCAGTGGTTTAAACACTCAAGGATATATTCTCTCCTGTAAAGTCTGGGGGTTATTTTAGGGGCATTGTGGCAGCCCCACAAATTCTTGGAGATTTATGTTACTTTTATCTTCCACTCTGAAAGCCTGTGGCTTCTACCCTCCTGCTCAAGGGGACTGCATTGTCTAAGACAGCTTCTGAATGAAGCTCCAGCCTTTACATTCATCTACTAGACAACAGGAAGAAGGGCCTGTCTTATCCCCAAATCTCACACACTTTTGCTTACACCTCATTGGCCTGACCTGAGCTACATGGGCATGGGTGGCTGCAAGTGAGCTGGAAAATGTAGTTTTTTAGCTTGGAATTAATTACATTCCTGTACATTCTTAATAAGTTAGATGGTGTACATTTCTGTGCCCAGAGGGAAAGGAGTGAGGGAAGTACTGGCAGGGAAGGACAGTGTGCCACAAGGAGCAAAACAGGATGTGGTAGTAAAAAGCTTCATAGCAAAGGATGGGCCAAAACAAAACAAAAATGTTTAAATAAAAAGATATATGAAATCAAAAAGCACAACAGTCTGGACCAATAGCTATGGGCCAAGTCCTCTCAGAGATTTCAGCCCCTGAGACTGTCACTGTGTTCCAGGATCATACAATCAGGATACGACAGTTCCGAATGTTCTAGAAAAAAATGTTAGGCCATTCTCATTGCCTTACACTCCCCTCTATACTATCAGTATTTTTAGTCCTTGACAGGTTTAAATTCATGACAGTTCACAAATACCTTTTTGTGCTTTTGATTTTTGTTCCCTTTCTTATGGTCCGTGTGCATTTGGCCAATTGCATTAATTCTTAAAAAGCCCATTTGAAATCGATGTCCCTTGTTCCTGTATATTAATTTTGCTTGTCTGCTTTTAGTCACAGATTTCAGTTAAGATTTAAGGCTAGAGTAAGAGAAAAAAATGAGTAAGTAATATTTTAAGACAAATTTGGAAATAAGCTGTGATTCAGTTGGATAAAACACTATATGCCCTTAATGTCTTTTGTGATGAGTATTTTGTTTGTTTTTTACTATAGAATATGGTATAAATGTAAAGTATTTGGATATTATAGCTGCAGCTCCTACAAATAGTCTTGTACCTGTCTTTTGTTGGACACATGCACTCATTTATTTTGGGTGGATCACCTGGGATTGGCATTGCTGGGCCACAGGGTAGCCATTCACTTTGTGAGAACTGGTGCAGTTGGAAATAGTTTTGGTAGGTTATATATTGGTTAGGCCAGACTATGCTACAAATAAGCCTCATAACTTACGGTTTAATTTATCAAGCCTCTTCTGGCTCAGACAAGTCTGCTGGAGGTCCGGTAACTCCCCAGGGCACCTGTCTCTCCTGGGTCACTCAGTGATCCAAACTGCTTCAATCTTGTGGCCCTACCATCTCAACATGCGGGTTCTTTAGGAAGCGTGGGGTCACACCTCTCTCTTGAATGCTCTCGCTAGGAAGTGGCACATGTCACTTCTGCCCACAGATACTTGATCAGAACACATGGCCTCGCCTAACGTGGAGAGATCTGGGAAGTACAGTGCTCTGGGGGCTAGGAAGGGGAAGCGAATATTGGCGAGTGTAGGTAACGTCTGCCACACCTCACACACCCGGCAGTACCTCTGCTCTAGTGTCCTGTGGGCATGAAAGTTGGTCTAGGTGGTAGATTCTAGGTAGAAAGTAATAATTTTCTTTGGAATCGTGAAGTCATTTCTCCATTGTCTTTGGAAGTTTTTAGGATTTTCTCTGTCGCCCGTGTTTGGACATGGCACAATGGTATGCCCTGGTGTGGATGTTTTGCTTTTTTTATTTTTCATCATTGTGTTTTTGTACTACTTGCTGGAAGATTTTCTCAACTTGACCTTTTATTTATTTGATTGATTTAAAAAATTATCTCTACTTTTACATTTGTAATTTGCATGAGGTTTTTCATGTTTATGTAGTAGTCCCTTTTTACTGCATCCTGTTGTTTTGTAGATGCAATACCTGTTAGTTACTAAAAGGTTTGTTTTTTTAAGTTTAAAAAATATAGTTGTAGATTTATTTATTTATTAATATATCTTTATTGATTTCAGAGAGGGGAAAGGAGAGGGAGAGACAGAGGTAGAAACATCAATGATGAGAGTCACTGATTGGCTAGCCTGCAACCTGGGCATGTGCCCTGACCAGGAATCGAACCCCGATCGCCTGGATCCTAGGTCGATGCTCAACCGTTGATCCACGCCCGGCCGGGCTATAGTTGTAGATTTAGAAGTGTAGTTTATATTGTAACCTGTGCTTTTGTCTCTAGGATACTATTAATTGGAAAATAAAATACAGTAGGGGATAGGTTTTGATGTAATTGGCAATCTCTTAATGGACTAGAAATGGTTGTTTTTAAGAACTGTTAATTTCCCAATAACAGGTATTCACGCAAAATAACACACCTTTGTCTTAGACTATACTTTCTATTAACCCTTTTTTATGGTGTTAATAACCTCTTGACCCAAAACAAATTGAAAAGGAACATTTAATACTAGAAATTTAATTCTAAATGGAAGTCGGCAATGACTTAGGACTTTTTCCACTGCAGTATTTTGTGTTACTTTCGGTTCCCAATTTGATTACATATTGTATTTTTTCAATGTCCTGTTTTAATATTAGCTGTTTATTAAAATATGAGTAAAATTGATTTCTTAGAATTTGCTGATGGAGATGTCTGTCGGGCTGTTACGTATTCAAGTCTAGGCCCTTCTCTGTGCACTGAGGGTATGTAGGACCCTGGTAATGGAAAGAAAATCCCGTTGTTAAAATCAGGCCCTCAGAGTGCATCTCAGCCATTTCATATGGTCACAAGTGTCCACAGTTTAGGATACGAACTCTAAGAGGACACTGGAGGGGGCTCATATTCCTCCTCTTGGATTCCCTGTGGTGATGATTTAAAGTCTCTATTTTTCTCAGACTTTTAACTCTTCTGCCCACCTTGAGGCTCCTTCACACTTAGCAGACAACCTACCTGCTACTTCTCAGAGAAGGCAGAAAACATTAAGACAGGGACGCCCTCCAGGTCCTTGCATCAGATCTGCTTCCTTCTTTCCTCCCGCCTAATCCAATCCCTCTGTTGTG